AATAAAAAAGAATGTAAAAATGTCATTAATTTTTTTCCCACTATATATATATATATATAGATAAATCAATAAAATAATAATAACAAAAGTTGTAACGTCTTTTGGAGCGAAATTAAAATATTTTTATTAATTGTTTTGCTAGCAATTATATATACTAATATTCGTTCTTGTGCACATGCACAGAGACAACTAAAAATTTAGACATTATATGTATGTATACAATATTCAAAATTTTAAATTAGATAATAGATGTATTACGTTTTAAAATTTTTGACTATATGCAAATAAACAATATAAATGTAAACTATTTAACTTACATGAGAATCTTTATGATGATGACATAAATTTTAATGAACAATTAAATTTATAATTTAGAGGGACCATACAATTAATTAGTTAGAAAAGTATTTCAATTATTTTTATTATTGTTATAACAATCGTTTATGTGATTTTAAGGTGTTTAATTATGACACCCATGCCAATTAACTAATATTAGAGAAAAATCACCTACTAAGACGAAAAAATAATACTTAATGCAGAATAAGTGTTTTATAGAAAAAAATTATAATACAATTTTTTATAATTATGTAACTTTCACATACTATTTAAAGTTTTATAATTAGTTAGTATTAGTAATAGTGAGGCTCCATTCAAGGAGGACGACTGAATATTATTACATTTTATTAATGTAAAATAAAATGTAACGGTTCTATTATATATATTAAGTTTTATTTATTGCATTGTCAGCAATATATATATGTAGATATAGATTGTTTACTAAATAGTGGTTCAAGATAATTTTTTTGATAAAATAATAATAATAATAACAATACTAGAAATAATCCCTCCCCACTAGTTGACCAGCGAATCCGGACTCGAGAGAAACAAACCCAGACACAACGTCGGTGAGAGGGCGCCGCAGAGAGGCGAGCCTAGCCGAGGGAAGCAGAAGATGAAAGGGGATCTATTACACTATTTAGGGAAGATGTAAAATTGGTAGTTTTTAAATATCAAACAACTAATTATTTACCAAACTTTGCGTAATCAGTTAACCGCTATTAGCTATTCAATCAGCTATTCGCAATCGGTCAAGTGCTAAACATGTCGATACATAGTTAATTAAAACAGCTCCCACCTTACAACATTTGAGAGTCAAAAGTAAGGTGAAACACTTCATTTGGAAGTGTTTCAATGGGATCCTTCCTGTCAGCATGAATGTCTTGCCAAAAGAAATTAGGGTGGATATCATCTGCAAAATGTGTGGAGAAAGTGAAGAGACAGTTGAAGACATGTTTTTTAATTGCAGGAGGGCAAAAAAAGTTCGGAAATCGGCATCCCTTGACTGGGAAGGAATTCAAAATCAGAATGGGAGCTGCAAGCAATGGTGGTGGCAAGTGTGCTCAACTTACAGGTTTACATTTGCAACATATAGTTTTAATGTGATCTGCAACTTTTGTGGCTCAACACAAACAAACAATTTCTGTACCTTAAAGAGCAGCTCAACAAGCACTCCAAATCCAGTACATTTCCACTTATCTAAGTGAAAGAAACTGCATTTATGCAGTGAATTTAACCCTTCGAACGCTCACTCACTCACTCACTCACTCACTTTTCGTACCTTAAAAACTAATTGTTCGAAATTAAAGTTACGAACTTATTCAAGGAACATTGCCAAACACTTGCAAAACAAGAATCTCACGTATTCGGTTCACAAATCAAACAAAAAGTATAAAACTATATGCATAGGAGACTACTCATGCAGGCAAAAAATCACAAGCACGAAAAAAAACTTACACTGGACGTCTAGACGTGACGTTCACTACAGCTCATCTCTACTGATTACCGACGTGCCAGGAGGTACCATTGTCTCGTCCCTAGTTATTCGGGCCGGGCTTCTCCCGAGAGGAGAACCGGGGCCCGATCTCGACTGAAACTCCCCATCCTCACGAGGCAAGGGCGAAATCGACACCCGCTCGTCATTTTCCCTCTTACGGCAAAACTTATCTTCCACCACATCATACTCGTTACCCGTCCTAACCTCTTGGGCCAACGAGCACCAACAGCAGAAAAGCCACAGAACAAAATCTGTCACAGCCGGTTTACCACAGCAAAACTCGTACGCCGGCAGATTAAACCTCTTCCTCATCCGAATCCTCCAGAACCCGCCATATAACAACCCAAAAATGCAAAGAAAAATGCCCGTTAACCCCAGCGCCTCCCGAACAATCTCGTTATCTATATTCACGGCTGCAAGATTGAAAATCCAAAATGGGGCCAAACAGAAGAGCAAGAAAGTGGCTATGTGGACATACATGTTGCCGAACCCGAGCCTCTCCATGTTCCAACCGAACACACAGAAGCTACAGAACAGAGAGAGATAAGCTAAAGAGATGTCATCCCAAAAGTCGAGTATGCCCCCACTCCAAACGGGCCGAGCCTCGAGGGCGGGCCCCACTTCATCACCCCTCGATGCAAAAGAGAATCTTTTCTCGAGAGAGATTCGTCTAGACTGAATCTGAGCTTCCTCGTCGATTTCATTTTCGTAGTCTTTTCCGAGAGGGCTCAGCATGGAGTAAATCCCGGCAAATGCAGGGGCACCGATGGCAATCGATACACAAATCCCGACACCAATTGGGGGCCTCACGGACCTTTTGTACCCCAAATTAAGCCCACACAGCGCGTATTGAGCGAAACAGTTGACGTTCAAAAGAATCACGACAAACATCATGTGGGCCCACTCGTGGGGCTTGTAAGTCCCGTTCTTGCAGTAAATTTTCCTCAGCTTTAATATATCCTCAGGCCTCCACCTCAGGAGAAGGGTAAAGTGGTATATACGCTTCGGGTGCTGGTACAAGCACATGAGCGTGAATAGAGCATTTAGAATTTGATTGTTGACTTCAAACCACGCGTCTCGTTGGGATTTTTTCGGGAGGGCGTGGTTTAACATGCCTGTCATGACCATGAATAGAATGGCGCCAGATATGGCCACACATAGGATCCAAAGGAAGAGGGCTAAGTTTAAGGGGTTTTTAATCCATTCCTTGGAGAGTTTCAAGAGGCAAGCCCAGTCGATTTTCTTGGAGAATATTTTGTGAAAACGTTCGCGGATGTGGAGGCTTGTTGAGGAAGGTACAGCACGTGAGACCTCGTCTTTTTCCTCTGCAATGCGTTGGAACTTTCCGGATGGGGAGGATAAGTTGCCGAATTTGAGGAATTTCATCTTCTTCTTGGAAATGGCGGTAAAGCCGGTGTTTTGTGGGTTTTGGGAGTTTTCATCGGTTATTAGGCCTCTTTGGGAGGTCGAGATGTGGAGTGTGGTGTGGCTCTTGAGTTTTCCGGTGGGGGGTTCCGAAGCTACATCAGCTTCTCCATTGGCAACAGTTGAAACCATATTAATT